GGTTTGGGATTCCTCCAGTCCAACCTTTCGCATGATGTATTCTGCATATAAATTAAATAAGCAGGGGGACAATATACATCCTTGTCGTACTCCTTTCCCAATTTTGAACCAATCAGTTGTTCCATATCCAGTTCTAACTGTTGCTTCCTGCTGAAGCCGACCTTGTAGGATTTTGAGCATAACCTTGCTAGTGTGTGAAATGAGTGCAATTGTACAGTAAACAGCTACTTGGGCCCAATTTGGGCATTATCATTTAGGGGTGTACTCACTTTTGTTGCCAGTAGTTTAGGCATTAATGACTGTGTGTTGCGTTACTTTGATGGGATTGCACTTATATAGTTATACAAGCTGTATACTCACTGCTTTACATTGTAGCTAAGTGTCGTTTCTTCAGTGTTGTCACGTGAAAAGATATACTAAATATTTATGAAATGTGAGGGGGTGTACTCACTTCTGTGATATACTGTACTTCCTATTTCCTTTTTTTTTTTTTTTTTAGTACAGTACAGCCCTTACAAGCATTGAGTCAACATGTTCCTGAGATATTCTGAGAGCTGCAGGGCAAAAACACAATGTTTATTCCCTCTGTTTAAAAGCCAGGGATTTGTTGCCATCACTTCTAGTCTGGTTCTCAGTAACTAGTACTTTGGTACTTCTCGCTACTGTATCTGTTCAAAATATGATTCAGTGCTTTGCCATTCCATTTACGCCCTTACAAGCATTGAGTCAACATGTTCCTGAGATATTCTGAGAGCTGCAGGGCAAAAACACAATGTTTATTCCCTCTGTTTAAAAGCCAGGGATTTGTTGCCATCACTTCTAGTCTGGTTCTCAGTAACTAGTACTTTGGTACTTCTCGCTACTGTATCTGTTCAAAATATGATTCAGTGCTTTGCCATTCCATTTACTCATACCTGCATTCTGTCCTCTTTGTCTTGCTACCTGCCCTCCTAACTTCCAAATTCAGAAAGGTCAAGAGGTTTATTTACTCCACTCTCTTTGCATATAAACAGCCTGCGCTATGGGAAGAGGTAATAGCAGATTACATAATCCATAAAATATATTACTATTTATCAGACGATGTTCTATTGCTTTTATCCACCCTCTACACCTGGAGTGCATCAGGTTGGGGAGTTTCTTTATAGGAAATGAACCCAAGCTTACCAGTAAAGATAATAGAAGAACGAGAGCAGATAGAAAGCTAGTTTACACCAGGCCTCTCTTTGGCAGTAACTCAAGGTATCTGCATTCATTACTGCTGGTGGATCATATGCTAGTTCTGTACTGTCTGCTGGACAGTGGAAATACCTGAGAAAGAGAAAAACATGTGGAAAGAATCCAGAAGTTACACCTGGAAGTTACACTAAACTACAAATGAATGTTGTTCACTACTATCTTAGGTGATAAACAGCTTTCCTTTTAGTATTTTGCTGCAGAACTTTAATTCGCAGCATGCATTTTTCCTCTCCAAAGAGAAATTCATATGAAGAACCAGAATAAAAATTCATGCAGCTAGTACAGGAAAAATATACTAGAGGAATAGTAGAGTCTTGGATTTTTCCTGCAAAATCTATATGAATTTTGCATCTCAGCATATTTTAGCCTATTATCCCATCAAAAAAATGACATATTTTATCAGAAACAACTCATAAAAGGTCCAATTCCCACTCATAACCCTTGGGATAACTTGATGCTTGAAAATTCATCTGTATAAAAAGATAACCATGTGCCCATTTCCAATATTTCCCATGGAACTCTAGCAACTTTATCTACAGGGTTGCAAAAAGAAGGGTAGACACCAGTGTGGCTGAAATCTATAGAACCACACATGAGGCCAGTTATCACGAAGCACTTGCTACACACAGCCAGGGAACGCCCAAGATATTTTGCTGCCTAAGATGTTCCAGTGAGTACTTTCTCATTGCCCATGCAAAAAAAAGAGCAATATGGCACTGGAGAAAGCACTGCACATCAAATGACAACAATATATGAGTGCATGGATTGCCTGCCAGTGAGCATGAGCTAGCCTGTTTTACCTTTTCACTGTATTGTAACGTAAGTGCTAAAAGCCTACCTGCTTTGTTATATCAGGCAACACAGAGACTAGGTCAGGAAAGGGTGGCCCCAGGAACAAAGACAACTCCAAGAAGAATTATGACTTACCGCCAGAAGTGATAGAAAAGCAGAGGAATATTCAAACCAAGGGTCAGCCATTCTTGAGCACACAGAAACATTATACAGAAAAGGCTATGGATGGAGTATTCTGGCAATACTAGCTGGGGGCGGGAGGGAAGAAAACAGAAATGGTTAGAAAGTTGTTGGAATACAAACAATTCTAATGGTTCTTATTTATTATCATTATTATTTTTTAATGATCTTGTCATAAAATTAGACATGCAATTATTTGCAAATCTCCTACTCTGCTGCCTAGCAGGCCTGGGTACATTTGGGTAGCTTCAGTCTGTACCATAATTATATGGACCCAAAGCAAAAGGAGCACTGCATCCAATCCAAACCTATTCCTTCCTCCCCTTCTGCAGGAAGAGTTATGTAGCCATCTGAAAAGAGTGTTTGAAATTCTGTTCTGTGTTTTGTTTGGGATAGTCAGTTGGACGTTTTTTGAATGCTAGAGTTTCCTGTAAAACAATGAGGCAAAAAATTGGGGGGGGGGACTTTAGTTCTCAATGTAAATGAATACTTTCTGAAAGCTTTAAAAATGCCAGTGAGTGCTACTGGCTATCATGTGTACAGTGATAAAATTCTAGTAAATTCCCATGAATTTATTATGTAGATTGTTGCTCCATTTAACCTACAGACACAAAGGCTTACACAGCCTGTTTCGCCTACATTTTGGAGTGCTGCAGGATGGGTGGGTGCACTCTCAAAGATAGCAATCAGGCAACAACTTTATTAGAGTGCATCAGCCCACTCCCAGAACATTCTCACCCATCTCTTACTGGCCCCTGTCAAGAGGATTCTACTTTTCTGGTGCAAGTAAGATCACTCTGATTTGGATCAGTTCCACCACGTGTGATCGTTGGAAACAATCCAAAGCAAGCCTTCCTCCTTCAATTTGCCAATATTGTGAAGTCACTTAATAAGTAAGCCACTTCAGGATATTGGCAAATTAATCACTTCCCCTACTCTGTAGCGAGCAGGGGACATGAAAAGAAAAATATTTTTGACTAGAAGTAGACTATTGCTAATTCACTACATCAGTTATAATTAGAAAAAAAAATCTTTTATTTGCTTTGCCTTAAAGGGCCAGGTGAGATTTTCTCACCTGGCCCTTTAAGAGAAGGCAAATAATTTTTTAACTTATACAGTGCCTCAACAATAGTCTATATCCTGTATCCTATATTCAATTTTTTTAACTTCCCCTAATCTCTGCTAAGCAGAGGAAATGAATAATTTGACAATATTCCAAAGTGACGTGCTCATTAAGCCACTTCACGATATTAGCAGAAGCCATTTCTGTGTGAACAGTTGGGTTTGATTAGATCATTCTAATCAAGCCCACTAATTCCCAGGTGGCCCACACAAGCTCGTTCCTTGCTGCTAGTGTAGCCGTACCCATAATTAACTAAAGCTTGGGGCACTTCCAGAACATATGTTTTTGTGCAGTTTTCCTGCCTCATTCACAGGATTTTATGCAGGATCAAGGCAATGTTGTCTTCCACTTGTAACCATTAGTGTTTTCCTATTATTTTCTAATCTTCCTTTCCCCAAAAATAATGGTTAAGGATTAAAATACAGAATAGTTGAACAATATAGCATAATTTAATTGGTGGTGCTCAGGGCTAGCCATCTGGAAGCACCATTCATAAAAGCCTAATGAATTTTGAATATATTCACAGTAGAATATATTCAATATCCCATGTTGCCCTTGAGGGGAATTGCGGAACAAAAAAGGGGGAATTCAGCACTTATAACAAGTAGAAAAATGGGGGAAACAAGGTCTGATGCTCTAGAGAAGAAATGCATTTACTGATGGAATGAAAGGCTTAATGCATTTTCTGATGACATCCCCTGATACAAGAGCTGAATTGCCTCAGCCACAAACAACAGATGTTATCCTTAATGTTCTACCATTACCACTCTGCTCTAAAACATAGCAGAGAAAATGTCAGCACACCTATCTCAGGCTCAGTGACTTTCAGTAACTATGATCTGACGTAAACAATTAGCACAGTAGAGTGCAATGCAAAGCAGTGGCAGTATCACATGTGGCCCCCAGGGGCATCTTTTCTACATTCCCCTGAGATTCCAGGTGCCTTCCCTACTAAAAAAAGGGGGATTTCTAACCTGTGTTTTGTTTTGTTTTCCCCACTGTCTTGGTAGGGGATCCCCTAAGACCTTCAACATCAAGAAGAAGAAGAAGAAGAAGAAGAAGAAGAAGCTGTAGCTGTCGCTTATAAGTAACCACCTGACCACTTTCTAGTTACTTTTTTAAAATGGCTGAAATCCTCTATTTAGAGGCTCAGTACAGCCTGTGGAGATGCTGGGAATGTGAACTGGGCTCCCCAGCCCCTTCAGCTTGCCTTTTTGTAATATGATATCTGGTCCATCTTTGAGATCATTGGCTGAAATCCTCAGAACATAAATGTAAATTTCATCCATGCTGCTTAGATGCTTTTGAACTTCTTTCCTGCTATTAATGCATGCCCGTGAAAGACATAAATGCAATTTTCAATACTTTTAAAATGGTTTTTAATCTATATTTATGTAAAGTAATGGCCATGCCATCAACTGCACCAGTGGGCTGTACAAATGAATTTAAAATGACATTTCAACCTGTTATACACTTATTTTCAGATTTTAAACTTCCCTCTGTATGGAAAAATTCCAAAGTATATTCACTCCTCCTCTGCTCATCACCCCACAAACACAGAGTTTATTCATTTCAAGATACAGCTCCCCATCCATTAATGTTCAGTTCTTTCCAAAACACTGGGAGGTGGTGGGCACATTTAGGCCGTTAAAAACTTGGCCATTGTAGCAGGCCTTCCCTGAACAAACAGCTTTATGGTACAACAGTGTTTGCTAAAATACCATCCATCACACCGCCATGCTTCTTGTTTTTTATAATTAATGCTTTTAACTGTAATCAATAGCATTGTACTTGTTTTACTACACTTTGTGATATTTGCTTTATGCCCCAATTGTATTATTATTGTATTCTCGAAGGCTTTCATGACTGGGATCCAATGGTTATTACAGGTTTTTCAGGCTGTTTGGCTGTGTTCTGGAGGTTTTTCTTCCTAACGTTTTGCCAGTCTCTTCAGAGGACAGGAGTCAGACCTTTGTCTATGTTCTGGTGTAGCATTGGGATAGTACAAAAAACACCCTGATCACCATAATCACCCAATCTCCTGAAAAGGACAAAAAGCTGATCCCACAGCTGCAAATACTCAAATATCCCACACACTACACCAGAACACAGACAGAGTTCTAACTCCTGTCCTCTGAAGATGCCAGCCACAGAGACTGGTGAAACATTAGGAAGAAAAAACTCCAGAACAAGGCCAAATAGCCCAAAAACGTATTCTCAGAGGCTTTCACGGCCAAGATCTGATGGTTGTTGTGGGTTTTTCGGGCTCTTTGGCCATGTTCTGAAGGTTGTTTTTCCTGACATTTCGCCAGTCTCTGTGACCGGCATCTTCAGATGACTGGAGTGGGAACTCTGTCCATGCTCTGTTGCTGTTTGTTTGATAGTTGGGTATTTATAGCTGTGGGAACAGCTTTTGTCCTTTTCAGGAGATTGGGTGATCAGCGTTTTTTTGTTGTGGATGTATTGTTGTGATAAGTGGGAGAGATTATCTGTCACTGTGGTTGATGGGTGTCTTTAGCTGGTCTTTTCTGTGCAATGATCCCTTGTCCTTGTGGCTGGGTAGAGTTCGTTGACCTTCTGCAGGCTGTATTTTCCAGTGCTGAAAGCCAGGCCTTGTTCAGTTTCAGACTTTCTTCTTTTTTCTTGAAGCTATGCTGATGTTTATGGATTTCAATGGCTTCCCTGTGCAGTCTAACATAATGATTGCTGGTGTTGTCCAGTACTTCAGTATTTTGAAATAGAACTTCATGTCCAGCTTGTTTAAGGGCATGTTCAGCTACAGCTGATTTTTCTGGTTGTTTTAGTCTGCAGTGTCTTTCATGTTCTTTGATTCTGGTGTGAATACTGCGTTTATATATACCTGTCCACAACTGCAAGGTATCCGGTATACTCCTGCAGTGGTGAGGGGGTCCCTTTTGTCCTTTGCTGACCGTAACTTTTGTTGTATTTTTGTGGTTGGTCTGAATACTGTTTGTAGGTTGTGTTTTCTCAAAAGTTTCCCCATGAGGTCCGTGACCCCTTTGATGTATTGCAGAAATACTTTATTTATGGATGGCTGTTTTTCCTCTTCAGTTTGGTGTTGCTTTCTTGGTTTTATGGCTCTTTTGATTTCATTCTTGGAATAGCCATTCACCTGTAGGGCCCAATTCAGATGGTTGAGTTTGGTGCTGAGAAATTGAGCTTCAAGTTCCGATTTGCACGGTCTACCAGTGTTTTGATTATGCATCTTTTTTGTCATGGATGGTGGTTGGAGTTTTTGTGTAGGTCTGTGTGGGTGGGTTTTTTATAGATCTTGTGTCCCAATAGGAGGGAGGTCAGTTTTGCATATGACCACGACATGTAAGAAAGGTAGCTGGCCCTCTATTTCTTTTTCCATGGTGAATTGTATATTTGGGTGGATGTTGTTAAGATGGTTTAGAAATTCTTCTAGTTTTTCTTCATAATGGTTCCAAATTGCGAAGGTGTCATCCACGTATCAGAACCAGACTGTGGGTGTGAAGAAAGCCAAAGCCAGAGCCTGTTTTTTTAAAATGTTCCATATAGAAGTTTGCTATAAACGGGCTGAGGGGCTCCCCATGACCATAAAGATCTGCTGGAGGAGTGTCAGAGTGTCCTTTATAGGGATACTACGTTAAAGCTAATCAGTCTGTCCCCGGGCTTGAGTTTTAGGGTGCTGATCTTGCTTATGAAATGTCCTGAGTCTTTGATGTAGGATGAGGTTTGTCCAATGTGGTTCTGTAGGAGGGTGGCTAGGTGTTTTGCTATTTCTTATGTCGGGGAGCCGATGACACAAGAAAAAAATTGCACTCTCTTCAGTTTCTCCCTCTACGGAGGAGTGGGAGGAAGCTTTCAGTTTCTTAATAACTGATTAGATTCTGAAGCAGCTTAAGTAAAGTGACAGCTTAAGCCATCCACTTTGGATTGATCATGGCAATCACATCTGCA